TCTCGTTTCGCCTTCCTGCAGTCTTTGGCGTAGTGGCCTGAACAGTTACAGTTATAGCACCTGAGACGTTCATCGGCGCGTTGCTTTGCTGCTGGTCGTTCCGGCAATGTAATTGAGCATCGTTTGGTGACGTAAAATTGTGCAATCTTGCTTGGTTGCGGAGTTGCTTGTCAGGGATTCCTTCGACAAGGTAATCCGCGAATTCTTCGTCACTAAGGTTTAAATCTGCTCGTAGGGCGAACTTGTCATTGTAGTAGTTTGAAAAACTTTCCTCCGGCACCCACACACGGTTTTCAAACCTACGACGGCGTTCGAGCTTTCTTTAGCCGGATGTGAACATCGTCTTCATTTCGTTCATTAATTGGTCTACATTGTTGGCGAACGTTGGCTTAGCATTGTACCACGTAAGAGCTGCACCCTTCAACTTTAGGTGTATGGCCACACACATCATCGCATCGTCGACTTTGAATATGCCGCGGTAGTGCATCACTTGATTATACCATGTGGTAAATCCATCGCCGCCATCGTACATTGGTATTATTTCCTTTACCGTTTCGAACGCAACTTTGTCGCTTACTTCGTGTGTTCCCGCCATTTGTTTGTTTTCAAGCAGAGCCTTTTGAAGTTTAAGGACCTCAATCTCTTTTTGCAATTACTCCACTTTAAGGGCTGCTGCCTCGGCATTGTCGTTGTTGCGGACAACGGGTAAATGTTCTGCTGTTACACTACTCACGCTATCGCTATCTTCGGTGTGCCTTGCTGGACGCCGCCCAAAGGTGCCGCTACGTACGCAAGCTACGTCGCTTCGAACGCACACTCCATCGTTGTCGTTTCTTATAATTCTTCCGTTGTCCGCCCCGTTGTTCGTGCCGTTGTTCGCACCGTTATCCATGCCGTTGTTCGTGCCGTTGTTCGCACCGTTGTCCATGCCGTTGTTCACACCGTTGTTTATGTCGTTGTTCACGCCATTGTTGTTCACACCATCGTTGTTCACGCCATCGTTGTTTTCACCATCGTTTGCACTACTGTCCTCGCCACTCTTTTCAAAATTATCTGTTGCTGCTGAACCTTGCCTTTTTGAATTTTCAGCTACATTTTCTCCAGGGCACAGTCCACGTGCCTCCGCTGATAGGTCGCTGAGTCTTGCAGCTAAAGTGGCCTTTGCGCCACTCGCGTTTAGCCCAACGGCCGTGCACCAGGCCTTCAGCTGCAACAGCGAATATCGCTCAGCACTTATGTTCTCACTTTCCATTACTTTATTTAAAATTGACTGTACTTTTAATAGGAATGGTTTCGCGGACCACTTCTGATGTAATATATCAGGTCTTAGTGGTATCGAATTAAAACACGTCCTTTTCGTAACTGCGCACAAAATCTAATGTCTTCTTTTATTTTTGCAAAATGGAGTTAATCCCCCACGCTAAAGTA